AGCTATCATATGCTATACTGTACCGTCCGATCCTCACTTAGCTATCATCTGCTATATTGTACCGTCCTCATTGAGCTATATCATCTATTCCACTATACACCGTCCACACTGAGCATACATATACCTTCCTCAGCTATCATCTACTCTACTTTACCATCGCCAACTATGTTGTGCATTGTTGTAGAGAGTGCTGTACTTTATGCTGTATTTAGAAAAAGATTAAACGAAACGCGCTGTGCAATAATAATATCAGTGCCGTGACAGTGCTCATGTAAGTGCCGCTCTATATCTGGGGGATATGCTAGCAATGCATCATAGATTCTGCTTTGACGTTACGTGTGAAAACATTAGTCAATTCTAGTTGTATGCGCGTCGGCCGGCCGCGACCATGTTACAGACTCACACTTTCGCGTGAAATCTATCCTATGACATCCACACACTGTACAGCTCCGATACAGTGATACGTTTTGTCATCGGTTCCGGCCCTAAAGTCTGCTGGTTGTAGTGTGTCATAGTATCTTAAGTTTATTTCTTTTATTTACATATAGTTGTTCTCAACAGACCCTCAGTTCTCCACTAAAAATCGACAAGAGGAATTTCACCGATCTAATTTTACAGACGACATTACTAATTCTAATCCTTGGTCGATGGCTTCTTCCCAAAGGTTCCCTCTCAAGAGAATCTCTTTCGCAGCTTTTACTAGTCAATCTTGCGATGAGCGCAGATATCATAGAATTCTTCGATATTCTAAAATTAGAACAAGCAAGAAAATCCAGAGATCTGGTTCTTACWATACTATCTTTGTGGACTATTAGTCTTCTACAGTTTCCCCTCACTGGCACTGCTAAGTTGGGTAAGTCCTTAGGCTAAGATATAAGATTAAAAGTATTATTTTGGAATGTGAAAGGCTGTTACGGGATGCTCAGATCAATCATTTTACATTCTCCTTATTATGCAAATTCGTCCGACTAGGACTGGTTTCAGAACCCATTTTAGTGCTCTTTCTGATTTTCTAATTGTTCAAATTTATTTGATGTTTGACACTTTGTACTGTATTACTTCTATTGCATTTTTAGATGACCGAAAAGACGAAGTCGAACCARGTGTAACCAATAACGACAAGACTAGCATATCTGGCAACCATACAAAACAAGGGCGTCGTCAGCCACGTGTTTCTGTCGATACGTCATTATTACAGGCACCGCTAAGTRATCGAAAGATGTCAATCATTGATCCCCAGCCTCGTCGCTCTTCCATGCTTCAAATGTTGGGCACTTCTGAGAGTGATGATGTACTGTCTGTCCTGCCAGACACTAAAATGAAARCAWTCAATTTAAAGAGAAACTCCGTRGCTGTCACGTCAAACGGACACAACAGTTTATCACGTGACCGATCTCCTAGACGACTGTCGTTTGACGTGAATAAAGTAAGAAATAGTAATTTCGCAGAGAGTACATCAGAAGACTTCAATTTATCCAATAAAATCCCTAGACGGTGCTCACGTGATGTGCAGACTAGTTCACATGCTTCAATGGATACAACTGCTGACCGTTTTACTRCACGAGCAAATTTTGAACGATTAGGTTCTTTGGAGTCAGCGGAGTCAACTGTTGATGATGATAAGCCGAAACACAGGGTGACCATGGATTTGATAGGAACAACTATGGCTTTATTYCTGCAAGATGGACCATTTTTRACGTTTCGTTTGTACGTCATAGCGCAATATTCCGCTTTTCAGTATATGATAATTTTTTTAACCGTCAAAAATGCTTTGTTAGTGGTATTACAAATCTATAAAATCACTGTGCAACATTGCGTCTGCCACGATCATAAAGATAATGACTTTTCACCTGARAATCCCGTGGATGCTACATCAAGGCTGAATAATGTCCAAATAGCCGTGATACAYGAGAGGACTGGGACCAAGAAATCTGGRACCAARGTGCGCCGGGGGAGGTATAATCGATTTAGTGTTCGATGGACTCGCACTAAGACCAGAATAACACAAAGCGGTCCTTTATTTCAAGRAAAGATCTCTTGATATAATGCGTTTTTTGAGTTTAAGAGTGTCATMATTGAGCTTTAACGCGCGCGATTTTCTAAGCGAAAAGTAGAATAGYTGTASTATTCGGGCTGCAKAGTAGGGWAGCTACCGGATGCTTGGTCTTCCTTTATATTTATTGCGCTGTTTATTCAGTTCCTTGGTTTTGATAAATAAAAGAAAATCACGAAAGGATTCAAGATGTCTTCAGTTATTTCGTACTCTTTTATTGTGCATTTTTGTCCTTGATAATCATTTGTCACATACACAATGAAAAATGTCTAACATTATCAACTGCTGCAATCAATCGGGCAGACGCAATTCGACCATTCGATCGATCGATTCACAGACCAAGTGCAGCCTTTTAGCGAATAGCGAACAAAATCAACTCTCCTGTTACGGTACGCACGGCTTACTRTACCATTTTATGTGTCTTTCATCTAGAGGGAGATCTGGAGAGCATAGAAACTTACAATCATATATGTGCATAGTAATTGCTTTTTGAACGCGTATGGCCTTCAATCTTATCCTATCACGACTACAACAGGCAAGACCCACAGAGGTTTTCAAAGCATTCATTGCTAATCACTTTGCAGTTGGGCAATCTTATCGTGCGCACGAATTCTTCTTCGACTCACCTTATCAGTGAAGTTTGCATTGATGTGCATTTCTTGTGATAGTAGACTCAAATCAGGAAATCATTTTATTCTTTGCTATCAATGTCGTCATATTCCCGTTTCATTAAACTTAGTTCTAAATATAATATGACTGGGGAAAATAAAAAAACGCAGTTGTTTCCATATATGTACGTGAACTTTTGTGCAACCGTTTGTTTACAAAAAAGAAATCCATTCTTAAATAGAATATACCCCTTCTTAGATAATTGCCATTTGATTTATCTGTAAAATATCTTGTTTTTCGCCTTTCATCTTAATAATAAAAGTAAAATGTACTTGAGAAAGCTCACGTATCGACCGACATCGCATCAGCTTAAGATGATATGGAAAGCGTGTTGACGCATTCACGGAAATTTCTGTTTTGCAAACTATTTTTTATAATGCTTATCCGTGTATTTATTCCTGGCGAACGCCCACACTTAATGAAATAGGAACTACAATTTGTACTATTGGATACTGCTTGCACTATAAGAACACTCCTAATAAAAAAAAACCTTKCAATCCATTGCCGCTGTTTCCCCAAATTATTGCGCGAAGCTTTCATAGTAGCTCGTGTAATTGTCGGGGGGAAAAATTGATGAGATACGTCAGAAAAGTCGCTAGCAAAAACGCGTTGGCTGGCTATATTAGTGCTTGCTACCAACGCTAGCTATTTCGGGAACATTCTTGAGGAAACATACCCTGGATTTTAAAAGCTGACTTTTATTTTTCTTATATCAAATGGCATTTTGTATGGAAGTATCGATCTTTAGTTACATATGAGTGTTAGAGCAGCACCAGCAACATCAAATAACATAATAACTAAGAAAAACAGGAAACTGAAAGGTAGTTTGTGAAGGCATTCGAATAAGTCTGAAACATGTCTGAGCTCAAAGAAATTGTAAAKATCCTCGTACAGCTCTTCGTCTTCTCCTTTGTTAGAAAGATTTTTTCTAAATCATTGAAAACACTTGTAGAATTGTAGTATCTATTTAGTCCTAGGATTACTTAGAGAGCTACTAAAGTCGTCAAGAATTGTGAATGAAATCATATCTGACATTATAAAATCTCTTTTTGAGAAATAATCGATTGTCAAATATCAAAATCTGATGTGAATATTTTGTTTGTAATTTCAGGATCTTTTTATAAGAATTGAAGACTTTTTAGTTTACGCGTAACAATCAAAGACAATAAGATTATAAAATGCGACTTTACTGAGAATGAGTTGAACGACGGAGTTTCCATCTTTTTTTCTTGATTTTTTTTTCGTTTTCTGCAACCATTTTATCACTTGCTTCTTGATTTTGATTTTTCTCGCTTCCCATTAAGAAAYACGAATAGTGTATATGAAAAAAGCTCTCTCGTCTTTATTGGCGGTTCGTGTTCCAAGTGAAGTAGTCCTCTTCCCGACTATCAAGTATTCTAGTTCAGCTTATCTTTAGCTTGTTATTCATGCTCGCTAGTTGGCGTCGCTCTAAATTCCAAAGTCGCGCGCGTCTTTTCCGATGTGCGCCATAAAAGGGCTCAGATTTCTTTAAAATTACAAATTTAACCCAACATAAGTACTCTAAAACGTTAATTATGTGAAATGAATAGCCTATTTGAGTGTAAAGTGTTGTAAACATAGACTATACTATTTCAGTCAATTGGCCTTTATCAGTAGAACTCCACTCACGGGTAGCCGCCGAAATCGTGTGATCTTTYAGAAATCTCTGGGAACATCTCTTCCTACATGCAGATGTCCATTCCTTCGAAAATGTTTAAAAGTTCGAAACGTTTCMCTAAAATTCACACTTCCACAAAGAGCACTGGCATTGCTTTTTTTCGTCTTTTGGGATGCTTTAAATGATCTCTTTTTAGYATAATAAAAGTCCGTTTAGCGAACAAGTTTCTGGGATAACAAAAAAACATGGCGTGTAACAAGGTAGGGAGGATATGCCTCAAGTCAGTTGTAAATATTCTGTGATAATAAAGTTATTAAATCAATACAATTTCTTCTGTTTATCATCGTGATTAATACAATACCATTTCATCACTCTTTGTAAGGCAACAACATTTCTTCAATATATGATGGTGCTAACACTCGTAGAGTGCTGCATATCKGGGCTTCTACCTAACACAATCCAATGGATTGCTCCTAATAGCGGTGAATGGACATTGGAAAAAAGAGCAACTTCGACGGTAACAAACGACGCCCATTATTGATTTTTGCTGATAATGTCATTTAACATTCTCATTATTGTCATAACTGATGCCTTCGTAACCGCGATAGATATACCTGGGCGTCGTTCTGTTCCTATGAAAAAAAGATGGGAACTTTATCATAGTGCATTTGTTTCATTTGAGTTTATTGTACACTGAATGTCTAGGGCATAACACAAGTGAAGAATTATTGGCTCAAGGTAATGCAAGGACAATCAGTGGTCGACCAAAGTATATCCATTGATACCGCAAAACAAACAGAACAGTTTCATATCTATCCGTACTCTTCATTGGACGAAGCAATARTTTTTACTGATTTTATTAAGGTATTTATTATTTAATAGAGGAACTTTTATGCTAAATAAATCTCCGTGCGAGTACAGTATGACAATTAGTACAAAAACGAACAAAGGATTTTGATACTGTTAATTGTACGATYTTCTAATTTTCATTTACAGAACATGACCATTATCAAACTTCCCAAGAAGAATATTTGTTTTCTTCAAAAGCAAAAGCAAATGGCACAGCCACCAAATGAGCTGATTACCAGCTTGCAAAAGGTATGCCACAAACCGCGTGTTCAGTACTAAAACGAAAAAGCGCGTGCTTTATATATCGCCCATTGAGCTGTTTTTATATAAAACCTTTTGACTCGAAAGCTTAGTTACGTCTAGTTTCGGAAAGTTTTGGAGATAATAAAAGCTAATCAAATTTACCATTTTATAAAAACTTAATATGATTTRTGTGTATGTGGAAGTAAATTTCCAGTAGTTGTAATATTAGTTTTATATTTCCCGCATCAAGGTCGTCCCTCAAAATGGAACCAAATCAAAGATAGGCATTGACAAGACCGAGACGTCTTCCTGGTTATCTAGTAATATTCCTGCCAATCGACTAGCGTTAACATCTGCCATGAACACGTTGTGCGCAAATGTACCTGTTTACGAAATCACGAAGTTTTCTGGCCAAGTATACATAAATACTGCATCCGCTCAAGGTAATATAAGACAACTCATTAAGAATGAGTCTTATATATATCAATAAGCATTGAGGATTATCATAGTACGAGTTAACCTCGCCGAACTCGGATGTGCCACTTGGACTACCGTTCCAAAGCATATTCCATTTTAAAATCAATTTTGATTTTTTTGTTGTTTTTTTGATCTGCAACTCCAGTTTCAAATTATGGATCAGTTGGCAAAATGAAACTATATAATGATAGTTTCATTTTGCCAACTGATCCATAATTTGAAACTGGAACCCCTTTATCGATTGAAAATGATTGTAAACAAAGGAAGCCCGCAAAAACTGTAACTTCTCGAGCAAAGCATGATGTTTTTAAAATAGTTTTTAAAATATTAAAATAGTCCTAGCCATTTTTATGGCAATCAACAAACTTTTAAAAATCAGTTTTCTTCCYAACATGCTCTGCTGTACAAAATGGCGTCGCTGCGGCGCAATACCTATTTGATAATGTATGTACTCGTGCTTCATATCCATCACATTTCATTCTTTTCGAATATATAATTAATTTATTGTATATTGTGTTCCAATAACCAGGTCAAAAAAGACAGAACTTCCAACGRAATGCATGCAGCTCAAAGATATGTCTTGACTATCGTATTGAGTACTGCGTGGCGATTATCAACGGGAAATGTAAAATTGAATACCGAATTGTTACAATTTGTGTACCRGTTGTTTGTTAATGATAAGGAAATTGAAATAGTTATATTATTACATGGTTGATATTTCGATTCTAACTTTAAGAGTATGATAGTCCTCAAAGGGAAATAATGTTGATGACTACTAAAATAAAGCAAAGTTCAACCAGCTAAAATGTGTGATTTTTTTGCATGTTTAATGTCACTAAAAGCAGTCACTTTGACCTTTTATTTCATCTTTTAGTTTCTTGYTTTTCTTTTATTTTGAATACATATATTTCTTTTATTTTTTAAATTGAATAAATTGAAGAAAAAGGCACACAACTTGCAACTAATATTTTTTATATATTTTTTCTTTTATTTTTTATTTATATTTTTCTGTTTGTGCTTAGATTTGTGTACGGTCTCATTTCTAATTCGGCACTGTTCCTGTTTAATTCATGATCACGTACAGTTTTCTACTGATTTTTTTCGGAAGCCGTTTGGCTATTTTCTGTTCTGATCTTTTGCCTTTATTTATTATCAGTGAATTTTGTTCTGTTCTTTTATTCTAATTCCTTTACTTTTAACTTCTTGTTGGTCTAATTGCTATCGTTGCTCAATATATCTGAGGAAGTCATAACTTGCCAACTATATCAATCAGAACGGACCTCGCTCTGCTAAGCTATATTAAATCACAACTTATCAATAAAGATCATGTCTCGCATTAAACGACACGCTGAGTAATAGGCGCAGCTGAAACCACAAAGTTTACCAAACAATGTCTACAATGATGTCATTTTCTCACGATTTCCCACTTGTACGTGACGTCATGGACGCCATGTTGAATTAATTTATATAACAATTTTTTTATGCGCAACATGGAAATCAATTCTGAGAGGCGACTCATRACCATATTAGGAAGCGCAACGTTTGAACTTAACAGCAATTGATGAAAACAAGCTGAATTTATAATGATATAATTGAACTGAGCGCAGTTCAATTTGGTCTGAAATCAAACGCGCGATTACAAAATCGCACGACCAAAAAAAAAATGCTGTAACTGAACCACTTTTTACTTGATCTCTTAGTGCTGCGCTTTTATTGCTCTGTTGTTTGCAAGACCATCGATTATTTGTCCATTGTTTTCCCAATGACCAATCAGAAGGTYCGTTTCSTTCAGTACAGACAACCCCCAATGGTATTGATCCGACAATCAGCCTCAAGTTGGATATGAATTCATGTCACAACATACAAGACGCTGCACATTGACAAAGGGTGCATGTCTTGCTCAGACGATCGATATCAAGAGTCCGTGAAAAAACATTTTTTACTACTTGAAAGACTGGTTTCACTTCAAGTCGTCTAAGAAAGGGTAAAATGGATTATTTTGATTCTCACGAAAAAATCTAGTTATAACCAATCGATAAATATTAGTAATTGTTGACATGTATTTTTTCCTATTTTACGAGTGACTCACTAAACTTGATGCTGTGTCGTAATAGTAAGTAAAAGTAACTAAGACAACTATTCCACTAACCGTAACTATAAACTAAGAAGATTCAACGACATTTGAACTACTAAAGACTTCAATCAAAAAAACTATTCCGGCTATAGCTCAGTCGAAGCTCAGTGACTTGCAGCTGAATTTATTATCAGAACAGTTTATCAGAAAGAAACTGCAAGGTGGATGTTTGCAGGCAGAAGTTTAGGGGAGAGGAATTGATCACTTGGAAATCAAACAAATGAAGACGGAAGTTTGATAGATATCAGTMATTGTGTACATGTTTTGAGAGCATTTTCAGGATTTTTTTCTTGTTCTGTCATKTTTATTGAAATTGAATATAAAATAAATACTAAAGATGATAATAAGTTGTTGCCCCACACACGTAATTCCGTGGTTTAATTCTCAAAAAATGGATATTGTCTAATTTTGACGACCAGRTAGGCTTGGTTTTCACTTTTATTGGCTCGATGATGACGTCGATACGCTGTGTCATAGACTCATCAGTGGTTCAAACTTCCTTAATTTTCACGGTTCAGACATCCGACTTATTCCTTGACGTTGATTAAAATAGACAGTGTACTCTGGTTGAGAAACAATTCTCACATTATTCTGGAAAACATATACAAACAGTTTTCAGGTTTGTGCTGTTATATTTACTAACGGGTTCGGCGTACAAGGCCAAAGTAAAGAGTTAATTGATAACATCATCGAATGCTATATTATGAAAATAATACGAAATAACTTAAATGACAAATAAAACTGAATAAGAAATAATCCGATTTGTTCTTATACCAYTGAATGGAATCGATTAATAACC